TAATTTTTATGACCTCTCATATTGCTTTTTCTATTGATTTTTTCTTTCATCAAATTACAGAGGTTATATTTAAAATCAAATTACAGAGGTTATATTTAAAATTCAGCATCTGTTAATCTCAAGTCAAAGACCAGCAATTAAATTATAACATACTGCATTAAATTGGATTCTTCCTAGAATATCAGAATTTGCCCTACTGATAGCTATTCCATTTGGAATAGAATACTTTGCTTTGTCTCTTGACTTCTTTCCTATATCCATGACAACTCTGTTTTAGAATAGGAACAAATAGAATTGAACAAATTGGGATTTTTTTTTCTATTTCCTTTGGAAAATAGGCTCACACTAGAAGATGAAGACCACTTGAGAGTGCCTGGGTGGCTCAGTTGGTTAAACATCCGACTCTTGATTTTGGCTTAGGATGTGATCTCAAAGTTGTAAGATGGAGCCCCGCGTTGGGCTCTGTGTTGGGCATGGATCCTACTTAAGATTCTCTTTCTCCCTCTTCCTCTGCCTCTATCCTCATCTCTCTTTTTCTAAAAAAAAAAAAAAAAGGAAGAAGATGAAGATGAAGAGCATTTCATTCATTTCCTATATTATATAGATACTATGAGGAAAAAAATGTTCTGTAATAGATATTCCTGAGTTATCCAGTATTTTTTATTTGCCTCATTTTTTGTGTGCCAAATGTAACATAGAATTTCCTGGTGCTAAGAAATTACCTTAACATTAAAATTCTATTTCTTCTTTGCCCCTCCTTCTCACATAACACATTCATGTATTCATTCAGTCATTCATCCATTTAGCCATATGTTATTTGTGAGTCCGTATTTCATATCAGGTACCTTGCAAATCATAAAGACCAGAACAGAAATCACTGAAACAGAAAAATAAGATACAATAGAACAGATGAACAAATAACAAAGATTTTTTCTTTAATAATAATACAGGCAAACTATCCCAAGATTGATTAAGAACAAAATAGAAAAATAAACATCAGAAATAAAAAGGAAACATAATTATAGATAAAACAAATTTAGAAAAGATAATGAGAGTGCAATCAAAATGTTTTACCATTAAAAATAAAAATTTTCATGAAATGGGAACATTCCTAGAAAATATATAAGTTCCAAAGATTGAATAACAAGTAACAAAACCCTAAAGTTCTAAGTATGAAGGAAATTTAATCAGTAAAAATTCTTCCTACAGTAATAGTTTACAGGTATATTCTACCAAATGTTCAAATAAAGCACCATTCCAACCATAGACCAACTGCTAGAGAACACAAACAGAGGGAATGCTCTCAACTCATTCTTTGAGGCCTGTTTAATCCTGACTACAAAAGTGAAACAAGATGTGTGGGAGAAAGGAAAACCACAAGCCAGTCTCCATTATGAATGTAGATGTGTGAATCCTTATTAAAATATTAACAGAACCGAGTCCAGCTATGTATAAAGATATACTATGTCTGTGGGAGTGGAGAACTAGGGGAGGGAGGTGGGGGAAAGTTAACCCAGGAATGCCAAAGTTGTTCATCATTTTAAAATTCCTAAAAATGTCTTTCATTTATCATATTAAATCCTTATTATCCTCCCAGTAGGTTCAGATGCATCAAATAAAATTCAACATTCATGATTTTTTAAAAATATTCTTAGCAAACTAGAAACAGAGAAGGATTTTCTTAATCTGAAAAGAATGCAGAAAAACATGCCACTTTATTTCTAAAATTTATAAGCAAGTTAATCTGGACAACATATTTTGGCATATACATATATTAGATAAAACAGTGAAGAGGCAAGAGAATGATAAACACAGTGCAGCAGAGCGGTTAATTAAATGTGTGTGTGTTTATGTGTTAAGTATATATCCAAATCAATATAAACATACATTCAAATAAATACAGTATTTTTTTAAATAAAAAAAATAAGTGAATAAGGTTAGGACACTAAAGATATTTCTGTGGGCTCTCAAAACATGAGTAAAAGAAATTGGCTGTAAAAAAGAAATAGAAACTTCATCTTCAGTGAAATTTGGTTTTGTGAGTTTCCTCAACAGTCCAGATGTAAGACAGAGGAGGGAGACCAATGTCTTAATCTAGGGTTACATATTTCCTGAGCAATTGCGGCAGATAGATGGGAATTGAGTGAAGGTGCTGGCAAGAAAGTAGTTACAACGTGGAACTGTGGGATGGCAAGTTTGGTGGGAAAAGAAGTGAATCTGAGCAGTGGAAGAAGGATTAAGAGAACATGAAGGGATTAAACAATTGCAAGTTAGAAGAATCAAGAGCTTGTTTTTGCCTGGGTCCAGCGGAGGGACAAATGAAGGCAAGAGAGAACGGTAAGTGTAGGGAGGTTGCAGCCAGAAAGTAGATTGTTGGGGTTTAAAGATTTAGGAAGTGAAGCCAGTTAGGACTGGTAGAGTGATTTCCTGAAGTGAGGTAGAATTGAAGTTTCTAAAGGAATCATAGATTTAGGTATTTTTAGATCCCCTTAAAAAGGGACAGGGAATTGTGAGCTACTCTGGGGAATGGTTTTCCATGTGGATAATGAAGTTACCCAGAATGGTTCTGAGCCAACTAAGATTCTTTTTCTCTATGGAAGTAAAATAACCTACGTTACTTGATATAGCTCGTAAGTATGTTAGTTGATGTAGAACTCCTAAGTGTCAGAGCTAGGAGCATGGACTTCAGGTAATTAATATAATTTCTCTGGTGTTTATGAGGCAGGAGTCTTCCCCGCCCTCTCCCGTTCTTTGCCACTGTGCCTCTTTGCTTTGCCAATCCACTGTTCTGCTCCTGGGAGTCATACCTATTAACCAGCCAGACCTAGAGCCTCTCCCTTCCTGCTGTGTTCTGTTAATCTATTTAAGTTTTGTAATCCACATTAATTTGCACATATTAGATTTCCTCCTGGCTTTCTTCAGCTTTCATGCACTAGACAAAGCCATCGAACAGAATATTCCAGTATTTCACATCTCTTTTCTCTTTTGAAGCCAGCCTAGCAAATATAGACCAATGATTTCAACAAAACTTAATATTCAGAGTTTAAATTACAGTCTTCCTTTAACTTCTTTTATTTTTCTACATCCCTCAGTGAATTGAAGATTATCCATATGATTGTTTGCCCTCCAACATTATAGAGAAGTCTGAGCCTTTTTTCACAAGTATTGTGGCTTCTAACAGATTCCCCTAACCTTTTCATTCTTTGAATAATTTATATTATCATTAACTTTTGTGCTAAAAATTAGAAAACATTCCCATTGGAATATGCCTATGTTCCTCTTAAGTATAATTGGAGAGATTATTGCTGCATGTTTTCAGGTGATATTTCCACTGACCCTGCTGTTATGCAAGATTTTAGTTGTGCCTGTGTCATACTGCCAGGAAGTCCCTGCTGGTCTGAGAGTGACAGCCATTATTTAACTTAAGTCTCATCACGGAGCAATGATGTCAGACCACACATGGACTTTGGGTGAAAAGATTTCTACTAAGAACTATGTTGAATTCAGTATCCATCGCAATCCAAATTGCGATCTGAGGCAAAGAACTTAATTTTTCTGAGCCTTGGTTTCTTATGTTTAAAAATGAAAATAACATATATCTCTCAGGTTTCTTGTGCAAATTAAATGTTATGTGTAAAGTACTTATTTTATTACCTAGCTCTCAAGAAGTGGTTTGGTGACAGTTGTCGATTTCTTCTCCTCCTTCTCCTCCTCCTCCTTCATCATCATCCTCCTCATCACCATCATCATCATCATCATCATCATCATCATCATGTGGTTTAAACCAAGAACATTTTTAAATCTCTTATTATTCTCATTGACTGGGCTCAGCTAAGCAGTTCCTTTGCTCCCTGTGAAGTTGTCTGGCATTTCAGTCACCTGGGAGGCTGGCTCTGGGCTGGGAACTCATCTAGGCCTGGGATCCTGAGGTCCTCTATTTTCCTCCCCGGGCTGTCTACATAATGTGAGCTTCTCTCAGTATTACAGCAGATTCTAGAAGACAGAGTTCCAAGAAAGAAGGGCAAAAGGTACAAGACATCTTATGCCCTGGCTCAGAAGTCACAAAACATCACTTCTGCTATATTCTGTTGGTCACAGGAAGTCACAGGTGGATCTAAGGGGAGCAGAAAATGACTCCTCTTTTTGATGGAGCCATAACAATATCACACTGCGAAAGAGCATGTGGGATGGAGATACTGTTGCAGCCATCTTTGAATAACCTCTGCCCTATGCTATAAAAGAAGTATGAAGAAGCTCCCTGTGTATACATAAGAAAAGGTCTTCAAGATATATTGCTAAGTGAGAAAAGCTAGGTACAGAAAAGACTGTCTAATATATTATAGTAGTGTAAGGGTATGGGGGAAAACATTTGTATTTTCTTATGTATTTTTTAAAGTCTCTGAAAACATGCAAGAAACTAATATAACAGGTGCCTGATGAGGTTGGAAATCAGGTGTTGAGGTGATAAAGTGAGGCTTTTCACTGTATGTCTTATTATACTTTTTAAAAACAATTTGAATATTCAGATAACTTCTATTGTTTAAAAATTCAGTTTATAGGTTTCCCAATATATGGCCATCTAGCGTTTGTGTGAAAATTTACTTCCAAGGTAGTGAATTCTGTTGTTTTCACCATTTACTCCAAAGGTGATGAATTCTGTTGTTTTAACCGTTTACTCCAAAGGTGATGAATTCTGTTGTTTTAACCATTTAAAACACTGTCAAGAAGCCTTGATTTTTTTTGCATTAACTAACTTTATCAAATTAACTGAATCATTCATTGACAAGACACACAGTACTTAACAGAGGCATTGTTGTAACAGTTTTATGGTATATTTCTGTATTTCAAATGTCTTTGAATTATAATTTCATCTAAATTTCATAATGTAACTTTAAACTTTATCCATAATTAATATTTCAAATACTGAAATTTGATTATTAAAAAGTAGTATTAACTGAAGTTATTAAGAATAATAATTTCAAAGGTATCTTCCTTTTTAGATTACTATGCCATGCTATGAAGGACCATATAGTTCGTGTTGCAAATGAAGCTGAGTTTATTTTGAACAGACAGAGAGCTGAGGATGTACATAAACATGCAGAGTTTGAGGTAAGGTTTTGGTGGCAGATTAAATTCTGCTTCTCTGTTATAAGTCAGCTATCACTGATGATAACCTTACATAAGAAGGTTTTTTTAAAAAGGAAAATTTCATTCAAGTCATTTCAGTTCTTTTTTTTTTTTTAAGCTTTAGTAAATGCCAAACACAGAGGACTAATTTTTACCTCATTTACAGCAGACAGAGATTCTTTTTACCATGCACCTAACCCTTTGGTAGACTAAAGTTGTTCTAATGTACTCTTAAAGGCAAATAAAATTTTATGATGCAATTACTTTAGTAATTTTTAAATTAGTTTATACATCACTAGAGATGGGCGTAACAAGTGGTTATATGAAGAAACTCAGTTTTACCAAATATTCAGTAATTTATTATTTATTAATGTATCCATCTTTAGAGTGGCCAAAGATCACTTCAGTTCATGTTTTATTGTTATAATCAATATTTTATTGACAATTGAAGCATTGCTATTATATGGTATGCATGCAGATATATACATATATTGAGAATATAATAATTTAAAAATCCTCATAAGTACCTTGACTAAAGAAAAAATTAAGTATCGTTTCTATTTTATATGCAAAAACTAAAGTATATGGAAATAGTGTACGGGCGCTTGGGTGGCTCAGTTGTTAAGCGTCTGTCTTTGCCTTAGGTCATGATCCCAGGGTCCTGGGATCGAGCCCCACATCGGGCTCCCTGCTCCCAGGAAACCTGCTTCTCCTTCTCCCACTACCCCTGCTTGTGTTCCCTCTCTCACTGTGTCTCTCTCTGTCAAATAAATAAATAAAATTATTTTTTTAATTATTGTATATTCCATACTAATAGGTTTTATAAAAATATTATTTTTATATTTCTAGCATGTTAATAATTATTTGACATTTTTTGAATTGCCTTGGTTCAATATCTTGATTTCAGTGTTTTGAATGTGATTACTTAATTCATTCAATCTGCAAAAAAACTTGGTTTCAGAAATATTCAGGTAACCTGGTATTTGGCTTAGGTTGAACTGTCAGTGGCCTTGAAAATAACAAATAACCATCAGTTTATTTTCCTGATGCAACATGCGAACAAGTGTGGTGTGGCTGGAAATCAGAGCCCAAGATTTCAGTTTTGATGAGGTTTTTATCTCAGAAAGCCAGCTCTCTTAGTCATGCAAGTTGATGCCCTTGGTCTAGTAATCTCTGACCTTGCTAGCTGAAAAGCATGAGACAGAGAAATGACTGTTGTCACTCTCATACTTTTAACCTCTGCTTCATTTGTCAGATGAGGCAGCACACACCTGTCACATGAGATTGTAACAACCTTATTTTGAAAAAAATACCAAATATTTTAAACTTTGATAAAAGTACATTGACAATTGAGAGTTTATCAATGTGAAGTTTCATATCCCTCCAACAGTAAATACTTTTGGATATTTATCAAGGTATCCTGCTATAATCTGGATGTCAAGAAAATTTTGACTTATCTGTTCTTTGAAGCATATGTTTAGATATGAGATATGTCAGGAGTCTAAACAAAATAAGAGTATTCAATTAACTATTGACTTCTGTTAGTAAATAAGATTTAGAATATTAGCTGAATCCCCTGCAGGATGAGTTTTGGATCATTCATATTTCTACTAAGAAAATCAAGATATTTTGTAGGGATATAATAAGATCAATATTTGTCATGTGAAAATATTTAAAATAGGTTTTCAAGCAGCTAGATATTAGTTACGAGTTTTAACACATACTTAGCCAAGATGAAATTAAGCTAAGGGCAGTGTTTCTCAGCCTTGATTTTCATTAGTGCCCCCCCCAAGGAATCTTTTTAGACAATTTTCATTCTAATCTCCCTCTCCCAGTAAAATTTTATTTCTACAATATGCTGCGTATCTGTTTGGGTATTATGTATACGTCTGTGCTTTATACATTAAAGGAATGTGGTTTTTTCACACCCCCAACACCACTTTTTACCCCCTGGGGATGAGATCATTCCTACTGAGGATGCATGGCTAAGAGAGTGATAAGAGGCTATGAAGTGGACATGAAGACTCAGTGCTTTTTAGATTATGTAAATATAAAATAAAAATACTAATATAAATCAAATTTTGAGAGTATTATTGTTATTTAATGGATATATATTGTTTTTTTAACTGAAATGTTTAAATGTGTTCTTTTTAGATTAGAGCTATATTGGTAAATGCATTGACTGTGTGTGTGTGTGTGTGCCCATGCGCCTGCGCGCACCTGTGTGGTTTACCAAACACTTACCACTTTTAAATTATAAAAGATTTTATAAAAGCCATGACATTTTACTAGGACTTTTTGGGGGAATTTCTCTGTCTTCCATATAAGCCTGTAATTAAGAGATAAAGTATATTGAATTTGAGATGGGTACTTCACAGTTAACTTTTTTTAGCTAACCATTGTAATTGTTAAGGAAGAAAAATGAAAATTTAATTTTGCTCTCCAATGAGCTAATGAAATATTAACCTCATTATGGAGGCAGATCATTGTACTAATTGGTGATTCCCTGTACAAAAAGATAAATTGGAAAATGAATTAATCCTTCTTAGATTACTGTAGGGTTATTTCTCTGAAAGAGATGACTTGTGGTAGTAGTCTGTATCAATAGATGGACTTCAGGGATATGTTCAAATACCTTCCATGAAACAAATTTTTACATAGTAAAGATGGATGTGAACCAATTATATGTATTTTTAGATGTGAGACTTTTTTTCTTCTAGTTATATGACTCATATTACATACTTGGTAATGTTAGAATTTACGGTCAGTCCACCCTATATAAAAATTACTATACAAAAAAATCAAACTTATAATTAAAGAGATGTTCATCTTCATGTTCATATTGAACCTTTTTGATACACAGTGAGACTGATACCGATTAGCTATGTTGCTGATACCGGTGAGCATGAATGCGGACAGCGGACAGAACAACTGATTATTAGGGAAGATAAGAATAAGGTAGTTGTTATCATGGGAACCTTTGAACACATTAAATTCTAAAGTTGGGAGAGATTATAGAGAAAACTTTAGCTTCTCATTTTACAAATATGAAACTGAGTATGATGGGGAAATAAAAGAATTTTCATAAAGTGTGGAATAAAAAACAAGACTAAATTCCTAAATCATTGCTTTTCCTTGTACACCACATTGCCATTCATGAAATGGGAAACTATAAATTAAATGGCAAGTTTTGGATTTCTTATAATTATCAGGAATGTAATTCTCATTTTAAGTGTGGCATATACCATATTGTTTAAAATAATTAGATTTACACTTTTAGTAAACCATTATTCTAAAATGATTACTTTTGGAATACATTAAAATCAGACTCTCAGAATTTTAGGAGCCTTAAACATCATTAATTACTTTATATAACATCATCCAAATTATTTTCCATATACTTTATGTATAAGCACATAGAACACATTTTTGCAAGTTTGAAAAGTGAGTGTAATAACTATTTTCTTTTTTTTTACTTTTAAAAAATTTTTTAATTAAATTTTCACAAGATTGTATTATCCGAGTTTTTAAAATTGAATTGTTACTACCCTTTAACTTAAAATCAGATATCATTCCTTACTTCGACACAGCAAAAGTTATACCTTGTTAAACAATATGCATTGTTGTACATTTTTTGTAGTCGCAGTGTGCCCAGTACGCTGCTGATAGAAGAGAGGAAGAAAAGATGTGTGATCATCTCATAAGTGCTGCTAAACATCGAGATCATGTTACAGCAAACCAACTGAAACAGAAGATCCTTAACATTCTCACAAATAAGCATGGCGCTTGGGGAGCAGTTTCTCATAGGTGAGTTTCACAAATTTACAAGTAACAATAAGTCACCGGTTATTTATAATAGTTAGAAGTTAAAGATTATAAACTTTAAAATTATGTAGAAAATATGATTTAAAGCATAAAAATTACTTGAATTTTTCCCTGATACCTTTAGTAATTCCTCTTTAGAATCCTTTAGAAGAAAATCTAAACTTTTAACAGAAGCTCCAATGGAAGTCATTTCTAATTTAATAATAATATGTAATACAAAAAAAATTAAGCAAGTATTTTAGACTACTATCTCTTATATGATGTGTGTTAAAGAAGTGGCTCTTTTTTTCATCTTTCAAGAGTCTATCTACTTATTAAATTTATATCATTCTTAATTTTTCTTATACACAGGTAATAATATAAGCATTTACTATGGAGAGGTAACACATTCTTTTTAAAACTCTTCTTCCGTATTTTTCTATTCAGTCTTTCTTATGAAAGATTTTCATTGCAGATTAGGGCATTTATGATATCATTGTAGAAGTAAAACCAAAATCAGTTGTTTATGAATTACAGATGTTCTCCTTGCTAAAGTTTTGTGGACATAAAATTGTTTTGTTTTTTTCCTCTACACAATGAAGTTTTCGAGAAAAATAATAGTGAGGCAGGTCAATATGTTTCGATTGCTAAGGTTCATTTTTAGATCTCCATTTTATTTGATCCTATTAAATGTTTTTAAGTCTCTGGCAGAGTTTAGGGGTTGGTTAATTGTGAGCAGGACACTACTAAGAAGAATTCTGATAGAAGTAATTCTATTAGGGTGCCTGGGTGGCTCAGTCATTAATCGTCTGCCTCCAGCTCAGGTCATGATCCCAGGGTCCTGGGATCGAGTCCCACATCGGGCTCCCTCCTCGGCAGGAGGCCTACTCTCCCTCTCCCACTCCCCCTGCTTGTGTTCCTGCTCTCGCTGTCTCTCTCTCTGTCAAATAAATAAATAAAATCTTTAAAAAAAAAATAATTCTATTAGTTAGAGAAGAACATCTAGAATATGACCACAATACTGTTTGATCATCTCTCCTGGTTTTTCAGGTGTGAGATAGACTTGGTAAATCTTTATAATTTTTGTATTTAAGGTAAAATTATAACTTAATGACTTTAAAAATAATCAACACTCAATATTTGTTTCTTATAATAATAGTAATACTGTGACATCTAGCTTTTACTGACGATTTATTGTTTGCCAGGCATCACACTAAGAACTTTACGTGAATTATTTCATTTAACCTTCAGAACATCTCTGTTTAGGTTGGTACTCAAATGTTTTCCATATTATATTGAGGAAACTGAAGCTTTCAGAGGTTAAATAAAAACTTACATAGTTTGTACACACAGCTTGTACAAGGAGAGACAGTGTTTCAGTCAGGGTTCTCCAGAAAAAAAAACAGAAAAACAGAAGCAATGGGATATATGTGAGACATAGATAAATATAGATATAGATGTAGATTTATTTTAAGGAATTGGCTCACATGATTATGAGGGCTGGTAAGTCTGAAATCTGTAGGATAGGGTGGCAGGCTGGAAACTAAGGCATGATTTTTGCTATAGTCCTGACACAGGATTCCTTCTCCGATTAACCTCAAGGTTTATTTTGTTTTGTTTTTTTAAGTCCTTCAACTAATTGGATGAGGTCCACCCACATTTTATCTTTTATTTAAAGTCCAGTGATTGTTGATGTTAATCACATCTAGGACATACCTCTGCGGCAACATCTAGACTACTGTTTGACCGAACAACTGAGCACCATAGCCTAGTCAACTTGACATGTAAAGTTTAACATCATACAATGGTAGCAGTAATGAGCATTTTGCCCAGCTGTAGACCTTGTCTCTCTTTTTGTGTCCTCTGAATTGGATTTATCTACTCAGTTATAGACAGGACTGTAACATAATATTGCTAATATTTCAGCTGATAAGACTCAGAAAATTGCCTTCAGTGTATAAAGATGTACGTGAGTTTGAGGTCTTAATTACTTCATCACGTACTTATAATACAGCTAAGTCACCTCCATAACAGCAGTCGTGTCAAGTGTATCCTCTGCTCAGCTGATCCTTTACTGGGTTTCATTAGAGATTGGCAGAAAGACTGGCAGCAGCACCCCTTAGACATAAAGGTAGCTTCTCTTCTTTTCTGCACATTAATTCCCAGTGCTGACTAACTAAAAACACACAATCTTTCTGTCACCATCCTTTCCTAAATAGGTAACTGAACTCTAAATCTTTAAGAATAGGTTTTGTTCTTTATAATCTTACTTAGTATTTGACTAATTAATAAGCTCAGTCATTAGATTGCTTCTCTTTTTTGTCTTACTCACTCTCTAGGTAATTTTTACTAATCTCATGGCTTAAAAATACGACTATGTTGATAACTCCCCAGTTTATTATCCCTAGTCCAGATCTTTCGCTTACCTCCAGACCTGTATCCATCTACCTACTTGGCGTCTTCTGCTTAGATATCATACTTCAGATGACACAACAGCTCCTAAGACTTTCTCCCAAACCATATCTATCTCAGCCTTGGGCAACTCCATTCTTAAAGTTGCCCAGGCCATAAATGTTGCTTTTATCCTAACTGCTCCTAATACATCACACATTGAGCCCTGCAGCACATCTTACTGACTCTGCCACAAAATATATCCAGCACATTACCTTCGCTATCCCCTTGATCCAAAATATTGCCATCATTTCTCACTTGACTTGTCCCGGCAGCATTTTCTATAGTCTTCCTGCTTCTGCCTTGATCCTCTTAAAGGCCATTCTCAACACAACAACCTGGGTGACGTTTATTAAAATGTGGATCCTTTTGCTCCTCTGCTCAGAAACCCCCAGAGCCGTGCTGTGCAAGATGGTAACCACTAGTTACATGTAGCTATTGAAATTTAATAAAATTAAATTTAATTTAAAATGTAGTATCACCGTTCAGGTACTCAGTATCCACACGTGGGTAGTGGCTAGCCTATTAGACAGCGCAGAACATTTCCATTATTGCACAAAGTTCCACTGGACCGTGTTGCTCCAGAAGTTTCCTGTGTCACTGAAAGTTAAAATCCTTATAATGACCAGCAAGGACAGAGTGCACTATTTTTGATAGACTTCTCTAAGTCCATTCTGATAAAGGACCACTTGGGCAAAGAACTGTCTGAGCACATCAAGCAGAGGAAACAGCCTGCAAAAGAAGGAGGGGCTTGGCCTATCCAAGAGCAGGCGGAGACCAGTATGGCTGCAGTGGAGTGAGCCATGGGATGAGAAGGTTATAATCTTTGTTAACTCTTTGACCTCCTCTCCTGCTACTCTCCCCTGGCTCATTTTATTCCAGTCACTGTGGCTTTTTGCTGTTTTTTAGGCTTTTAGGACATGCTTATTCTACTTGGAATGCTTTCTCCCAAACAATCTACGCAGGTACCTCTCCCACTTTCTTCCAGTTTTAATTCAAAATTAAAGATTTTGAATTAAATTAAATTAAAGCCATCTGTAGCTACTTCTTTCCCCCCAAGTATTTTATATTGCATTTCTCTGCTTTATTTTTCCTTTTCCAACATTTATTACCATCTTACATATTATATACTTTACTTGTGTATCAGTTGTATTATTTTGTCTCCCGCCAGAACACAAGCTCCATAATGGAAGGGATTTTTTCTCTCTTTTGTCTATAGTAGCATACCTTGCACCTAGAATAATGCCTGATACATGTTGCTAAATAAATATCCACTGAATAAATTAATAAATTAATACTTGATGTATACCCTTTTTTACAGAGATACTGATGATGGAATGGAAAAATAAATTAGTCTATTGTCTGGGACAATTTTATATTTTAAATGAAATCATTTTATTAAATGACAAAAAGTACTCATCCTTGCATAAAACCAAAGCTCAGGTTCATCTGGAAAGTGAGATGAACAATTCCTATTTCATTAGGTTATTTAAATGGTAAAATGAAGTATTATATGCAAAATGCTTAACAGTGTCTAACACAGAGTAGACTTCTCATATTTGTTAGCTCTTTGAAAAGAGCCTTTAAAAAGAGCCTTGTTTTTTTAGAGCAGTATTAGATTTACAAAAGAGATTTCACTTATATCCCCACACATGTATACCCTCTCCCATAATCAAGGTCAATCACCCAAATGGTACATTTTTTAACCAAGACTGAACCTACATTGACACAGCATAATATAATCACCCAAGGTCTGTAGTCCACCTGAGGGCTCACTCTTGGTGTTGTACATTCTGTGGGTTGGGACAAATAGATGGTGACATGTATCCATCATTATAAAATCTTAGTGAGTATCTTGGTTGCTTCCAAGTTTTGGCAGTTATGAATAAAGCTGCTATAAACATCCATGGGCAGGTATTTTTGTGGACACTGGTTTTTAGCTCCTTTGGGTAAATACTAAAAAGCATGATTGATGAATGGTATGGTAAGAGTATGTTTAGTTCTGTAGAAACCACCAGAGTGTCTTCAAAGTGGCTATACCATTTTGCATTCTCACTACCAATGTATGAGAAATTCTGTTGTTCCACCTCCTTGCCAGCATTGGGTATTGTCAGTGTTCCAGATTTTAGCCATTCTAATAGGTAAAGTAGTGGTATCTCATTGTTTTGATTTGCATATTCCTGATGACATATGATGTGGAACACCATTTCATGTGCTTATTTTCCATATGTACATCTTCTTTGGTGAGGTGCCTGTTAAGTCTTGGACCTATTTTTTTAACCAGGTTATTTGCTTTTATATTATTGAGTTTTAAGAGTTCTTCCTGTATTTTGCATAACTTTCCTTTATCAGATGTGTCTTTTGCCAATTATTTTCTCCCCATCTGTGGCTTGTCTTTTCATTCTCTTGATAGTGTCTTTTGTAGTGCAGAAGTTATTCACTTTAATGAAGTCCGGCTTTTGTTGTTTATTTCATGGATAATATCTCTGGTGTTGTATCTAAAAAGGCACCACTGTGCCCAAAGTCATTTAGGTTTTCTCTTCTAGGAGTTT